TGTACTATTTCTTAACAGTTTTAGTCTCTAAGATGCATTTTGACAAAACCCCCTCTCAGGAAGATGAAATGCCGCAGCTCTGCCAGCCTAAATCTTGTCTTTCGAAGTGTCCATGACCTCTGAACCCCCACGGAGATGTGAAAATGAAGATTATTTCTTCTCATTAAAGCTGAAGTCGGAGAAACAGACACCTTTGTAGAGCAGCGCTCCCAGCGGTTCCGGAATCTCCACGAAAGGCAAAGAGCTGAGATAAACAAGCCCCACAAGCAGTCACATTAGCGCGGGCGGCCTGAGCTTCAGCAATGGGACGCAGGGCTCAGTCAGTGACTGAGAAGGGCACAATTCTGAACAGTTCAAAAGCTGAAAGCTTGTCTCCTCTTGTACGGAGACGCCTGCGATCTCTGAAAATGCTGGATGTTGGCCTCAGTGGATCACCGAGGCGACGGCACGGAGCCTCATGGGGGACGCTGCCCTGCGACAGGCACTTACGGGGAGCAAGCATTTTTCCTTGTAAATCGTTTAAATTCAAAGTTCAACTGTGTGTTGGATTTTATAGGCTAGTCACGGTATCTCCTTCCTAAACGGACATGAACGATGACAAGAAAGTAAAGACCACTTTGCAGTGCAGACTAAGGGCTGAACAAAGAACTCCTCGGCGTAGAGCGGGGCTGGCTAAGAAAGCTCAGCTCCGGGAGAGAGGATCCCAGAGTTAGGGACGCTTGGCTAAGATACTTGCCTGCTAACCAGACGGCTGGCTGTTCAAACCCACCAGCCACTCCTCGGAAGGAAGGTTGGGCAATCTACTTCGCTAGTGATACTGCCTTGGAAACCCAAGGAGGGGTCGCTATGAGTTGGGGCCGACTCGACGGCACATAACAACAACAACAAGAAAAAGCAGAACACACGCGTCAGAGAAAAAGACGCACGCCTCCGGAGCCGGCCTGCTCTTCGACACCTTCCACTCCCCATCAGGGGCTCTCGTTGTCAATACAAACCATCGCACGGAGGCGAGGTCTTCCACAAATGGAAGAGACTTTTCTCCAAAAAACAAATAATTGAGCTTAAGTACAATTCTGAGTTGTCCCTGACCGGATTGAATAGACACCCGAGTGAAAGTGGGACAGTCCCGACGCTGAACACCACCCTCCTCAGCTGTTGGTATTTTAGTCTCAATGAATTGGAGCGAAACGAGGCTCCCCTCCTCCAATCATTTCTGTTGACTGACGTTGTATTAAATAACATAGTGCCTAAGGCACTTGACTGCTAACCAGAAGGCTGGCGGTTCAAACCCACCAGCCACTCCTCGGAGGGAAGGTTGGGCAATCTACTTCCATAGTGATACCGTCTCAGAAACCCAAGGAGAGGTCACTATGAGTCGGGGCCCACTCGATGGCACATGACAACAACAACAACAAATAGATATTAAGTATAAAACTCGACGCGTGAACTCAGTTCTGACCAACAGAGACCCGACAGGACGGAAGAGAACTGCCCCACAGGGTTTCCTAGACTGTGGATCTTTCCAGAAGCAGACGGTCTCATCTCTCTCCTGCAGAGCGGCCGGTGAGCTTGAGCTGCCAGTCTTCTGGTCAGCAGCCCTGGCCCCAGACCACCAGAGCTCCATCAGATATTCTCTATACGCCCGTGAAATGAAAAGCACAGGACTCCAGCTTTCAATTTATAATGAGCTTGACTGAGAAATTACACTCGCTTCCTGGGTACTTGATAGGGTTTACGGTCCATTCTAGCAATCAGACTGGAATCAGCGTGCTTTGGGTTTTCCTCCGGAGGAACTTCCACAGACTTTTGTTTTCAACTAGACAGAACCCTTATACTATGAGGCAGGCTGTCCTCGGAAAAGCTGGGGGCAATATTTCAGAGAGACAGTAGCCACGGTGACCTGGGCACTGATGAAGGTGCAACTTTCCTGTAACTGGTACCAAGAGCTACAGTCTTGTTCCGAGGAGCTGTGTCTGTAAACAGCTGGCACTTAGGCATCAGAGGCGAGAATGGCCACCTAACACCAACAGTCAGTGCTCCGTGGAAAGGCCATCGAGGACCCGTGCACGCACAAGAACTGGATCGATATTAAGGCAGTTTTCATTTCACGCTCCCTCAGCTCCAGTAAGCAGACGACACACTCTGCTTCTGCGCACTGCCTCCGAGTCCTCCAGGAAAGGTGACCGGAGCCGGGGTGGACATGGGACGCACTTCTGATTCCGACAGGCCGCTAACAGAGAGCACTGCTGTCCACAGACGCGCGGCGCACGCGCCCAGCTGGGCTCTGGCGGCATCTCCACGCCTGACTCCAAACCCTCTTACGTAAGCAGGACCGCAGAGCAGCCCAATGGAGGGGAGCTCCATAAACAGCACTTTTCAATGGGAAAATGCAATGAAAAAGGGGCAAGGAAATATTACGGGATCTAAGCGCAGCACGATGTGAGTGCGGCATGTCAACGGAATGGCCGTCCTACCGGAGGGAACGTACAAAGTGCACTGTCTGCTGCTCAAAGGCAATTTGATCAACCCGATTTTAAGAATATTCACGACGGGAAACTGTGCTCCCACCGCATTTTTGACTGGGTGTGACTTTGTTAGGATCCTGATCAGCTCTAAGTTAGTGATTTTTAAAACTTTAAAATAGCATTTCATTGTATTAAATATCACATGGCACATTTTACTGGTGAAAAAATATGATAAAATGGATGGAAAACTTGGGGCAGCTTGGAAGAGCAGAAACAACGTGTGACTCATCTTTGTGACCCGTGAGGGCACAGCACAGTCTGGTTCCTTTGTTAAAACCTGCCAAGAAAGAGATTGACATGATACAGCAAGATGCTAATGGTGGAAGGGGGACGGTGTCCCTCTTCTGTGGATGGTTTCTACAATGAGTGTCTGTTCATTTATTTTAATACTTTAGGATGCTGTTGGTGAAAGTTCACGCAGCAAGGTAGCTTCCCGCTTTGCAGTCCCCGCATAGGTTGCTCAGTGGCACTGCCTGCGTTTTTCACAACATGTCAGCGTTCCCATTCATCCCCTCTGGGTGTTTGGTTTCCAGTCCTTGGGTTCCCTGGCCCCTGCCCCTCTCATCTTTGCTTCAGAGTAACTGTTGACCATTTGGTCTCAAGCAGATGGTTTTCAAAAGGCACACATATTCTGTATTTGATGAGTCAATAGGGGGCTCCAGTGGGGACTTTTGCAATATCTCAAGGTGACAGTTGTGGGGAGTCTTCTAGTCTCACCCGGTCTAGTAAGTTTGGACACTAAAAATTTGAGTTCTGTTCCACATTTTTCTCCTTCCACCAAACTAAAACCAAACCCACTGCCATCGAGTCCATTCTGACCCACAGCGCCCCTAGAGGACAGAGTGGAACTGCCCACAGGGTCTCCAAGGCTGTCAATCTTCACAGAAGCAAAGCCCAAACCACACCCACTGCCGTGGAGTCCATTCTGACCCACAGCGCCCCTAGAGGACAGAGTGGAACTGCCCACAGGGTCTCCAAGGCTGTCAATCTTCACAGAAGCAAAGCCCAAACCACACCCACTGCCGTGGAGTCCATTCTGACCCACAGCGCCCCTAGAGGACAGAGTGGAACTGCCCCACAGGGTCTCCAAGGCTGTCCGTCATTATGGAAGCAGATTGTCACATCTTTCTCCTGTGGAGCAGCTGGCGGGTTTGAACCACCAGCTGTTGAGTCAGCAGATGAGCACTTTACCACTGTATCACCAGGGCTCCTTTTGAGTCCAGGTAAGATTTGTTTTCAGTCAGGCCACTCCCTCTCCTAGGCTCCTAATGTGATCTGCTGTCATTTAAACGTTCGTCATACTCTGTTATAAGTATTTATAAAGGCAACTGTGCATACAGGTGACCACAAATCGTTCACAGAAAGATGAGGCAGATTATAAACAGGACCTAAAAGCGCTTCCGGCCACCAGGCATGATTTTGCTAGAGCTGCTTCTTTACCAGCCTGTGACGCTCTAGCTCAAACCACAGTTCTGAACGTGAAAACACCCCATTTATGTATCTAGTCCACAGAAACCACGTCCTTTAAATGCCACTCCTCCACGTGATGAAAGCTGTGATCCAAAGAGGGTGTGCACCTTGAAATTCATTAGTCACTGATTCAGTAAACAGCACCTCTGTACACAGTATCAGAGCGACACACCAGAGCAGACAGAAGATAAGGTTCTTGACCCTCAAGTAGCTTTTATTTTCTCTGAGGATATAAAACATGTAGAAGGTTGGGCAATCCTACTTCCGTAGTGATACTGCCTCGGAAACCCAAGGAGGGGTCGCTATGAGTCAGGGCCGACTCGACGGCACATAACAACAACAACAGAATAAACAAGGTTTTCTGAAACCTGTCATCCAGGGCAGATACTGAGGCCACTTGAAGGATCAAGTGAGGGACTCCCACTGCCCGCCCTTTGCGGTCACTGCCTGCCATCCAGTCGGATGCCACGCACGGGGACTGGGTGCCCAGCAGAACGCAGCCCTGCCCGGTGCTGGCCGGCCTCCCCGTCGGTGGGTGCCTGAGCCCCTTGCTGCAGCCGCTGTGCCCTCCGTCGCCGGGGTCTTCCTCTTCTTTACCAAGCTCGCAGCCCTTCTCCAGGGCCTGGGACCCCTGATGAGACGTCTGCAGTACGGGAGATGAAGCCTCACCATGTTCGCCTGGAAGGAAAGTGCTTCCAAGACAGGTTTGTTCTTGCTTCTGGCAGTCCGTGGGAGACTCAGGGTTCTCTGCCAGCACCCCAAGTCAGAAGCATGCCCTCTTCTCGGTCCTCCTTCCTCGCTGGCCGGCTCTCACAGGCACGTGCACCACCGAAGACGCCGGGGCCTGGTTCTCAGAGCGGCCTCTGCTCTGTGGCGCTCCCCGGGGTCTGGTCTCTTCTCAGCCCCACTCCTACCCCGCTCTCCTCGGGTGAGTCCTCGCACGTCTGACGGCTGTCACCCCTCTGGGGTCCGCAGGAGGAACGCGCCCCTCTCCCGGAGCCGCACCCGGGTCCATCCCGTCCACGGGACCAGGGTGCCCAGCCTGCACCCTGCTGGCGTTGGGGGCCAGATCCTTCCCGCCTGTGGGGGGCTGTGTGCCCTGATACAGGTCCACGCCGTATCCACCAGGAGCCCGGCTTCCCGCTCGGTGCTGAGAACCACTGTGTCCAAACACTGAGGGACGCGAGCCGGGCACAAACGCCCTCCCCGCCCGGACGAGCAGCACCGCGTCAGGCCCACAGGCTGCCTCCGGCGCGCGCACCGCGTCCAGCGCGCGGCACCGCGCATGCGCAGCCTGCAGCAGGCCTTCAGTGAAGGCTTTCAAATTAATGCATGACTAGATCCCAGGGACTCTAAGGACTCACCCATTGTTTCATGTTGCAGGCTCAGGCTGGTGGCCCCACACATGTTCGGATACGCAATCCCTGGAAAGGGCATTTTATGAGCCTCGTTCATAATTAGCACTCACACAATCCCTTTCAATTGTTTTAGAGCCTGTAAAAAACAGAAGTGAAGGCAAGTCCAAGGGGTGAAAATCGGATTTCAAAAAGACCTGGCGGGTTTCCCTGACTTTCTCTGTCCTCTTCTTTAAAACCCTCCCATCGTTGGCTTTGCAGGACTTCTCTGCACCCTTCACCACATCGCCTGCCTTCCAAATACCGAGATGCGACCAGGCGCGGCTGAGACGACTGGAGTTACCAGTGAGCGGTGATCAGGAGCCGTGGGCTGGACTCCACACATGACAACTGAGTTATTGGGTTAAAAACATCAAAGCCTCCTGCCCTAACGTCACCCCAGTGATGAACTCTCTGGAACAGGCAGCTGGTGGCCTTCCAGCGCCTCTCTGGGCGGCTGCGCGGGGACCCACTCTGTCCTCGGCCAGTTCCTGATTTCCTGGTGGTGGCGAGGCGCGCTGCACCCCCGGGGCCTCCCGGGGGGACTAATTTCATTCCCGATTCATCAGAGCTGCTCTCCCCTCAAGGGCGGTCTCCAGGGCTCCCCAAGCGCAGAGAAGCCTGGTGCTAACTAAGCAGGCCAGCTCTGAGCCACCGACAGGCCGGAGGAGGTTCTCATCTGCAGCCCTGGGCGCATCTCATTATTTACGGCCGTGGAAATGACTGATTAATTTTGTCATCCTGGCTCCATGTTTTTTTTTTCCTGGGGCTGAGGTGCCCGCTCTCTCCCGCGATGCCCCATCAGACCTATTTAAGATGATGCCTTTGATCCCAGGCAGGGAGGGGCTTGCACTGCAGGCCCGGATGCCACGATGCGCCAGGGGGCAGGGGCTGGGGGGTGGGGGGAGCTGGCAGGCAACACCCAGCACCAAGCCTGGGGACGAACCTGCCCCGGTCCGGGACGGCCTAGACCCTCACCCACCACAGGCCGGCCACCTTTCACTTTCATCTAAAACAACACGCCAAAGCCGCCTTCTTCAGTTATTTCCTCCTTAGCTAATTTGCCCGGAAGAATAAAACCTTGTAGGTCAGAAAATTCTGTGTACACAACATAAGATAATGAGTTTGAATTTTAAAACGTTTCACATATTCTTCGGTTGCTTTGCGCTGCACAATGGCTGGTAGTCCACTGAACGTGTACTTGGATGGGATCTCGCCATCAGAAAACAGGGACAGAACACCTTGTACACGTGCAAAATGAGAAGTACCGGAGGAGGGGATAAAGCAGCCAGGCTTCCAGGTTTTAATCACAGGCCAACAGCACAGGCTGGAAGTCTATCAAATCACGCCCAGTCTTCCACACAGGACACCTCATAAATTATGCAGCTCATTAGCACAGCTACACGGCTTGAAAAGCCCCATCAGCGTTAAGGCCGCTTTCCAATGGGAAAAGGTCAGCCAAAAGTTTTCATAAAGAAATCTAAAGGAAACCTTCCCAAAGTATATGTGCAAAAAGACTGTCCTTGAAGGCTCCCAGAAATGCTACCCAATTCTGAAGGTTTGCTCACTTAGAAGAAAGCGTGGTCACAGGGATCAGTGTAGGAGATTCTGGGTAGCCTGGGAGAACAATGTGGAACAAAACTCAAAATGATAAAAAAAAAAAAA